CGCATCGAGGCTCTCAAGGCATTTTTCTCAGAAACTAACGACAAAAAGGACGGGGACCTACGCGCGGTCCTTTTCCCCTATCTTCCTAACGCGGTGCGAGAAAAGGTTCTAGCGCACGAAGTCAGCGTGACCAAACAAGGAGTGAGTGGCTCGGGGAGTGTTCATAGGGGGATAGTTACCGACTTGTTCAATTGCCAAGATGGTGGGTGGGAGGGGTACATTGCCAGCATCACTGAAAAGAGTGCTGTGTATAGATTCACAAGTACCTCTTGTGTTTGCGCCTTCCCAGTATGCATTGGGTTAACTGTGGAATTTTGCTTGAGTACTAGAATTCCTGGCACAGTTGCTGATTCCAGTGCTAAGGCAATTGAGTACATTCCAGGCACACTTCCTGATGGCTATGCTGCAGACTATCTGCAATGCCTTGAAGACCAGGCACCTTCAGTCTGTCTGGACAGAATCATGCAACTCCCTGGCCCACTTAGAGCCATACTTCATGAGCCAGACCTACACATCCCTTACATGTCAAAAATATTAGCTGTGCTTCATTGCATTTCCAGTGTAGGCAATGACTTTTCCAGGGTTGCGATAAAAGTAGGTATTCACGAGAGCAGTTTTCTTGGTAGCCTTCCCAAAACTCTGTGCATGCAGCAGAGTACACCAGAGGCAGTTGCAGCAACAAGAGGGAGTGTTGTGCAATTTTTGAGTCTAGTCTCAGTCTGCATTCATACCTGCCCGGACATTGCGTACAAAATGTCATCAGTCATTCAAGGCTGTGCTAGGCTTGCTAATTCCTTTGGGGAACAGTTCTCTCTAGAAGGCCCCAACCTCGGTAAGGCCATAATACATGCCTGCTCAGTAGTACGGGGTGCAGAGAGTCTTCAAGAACCTCTAACTGAAGGCAGCAACGACGCACCGAGCCTACGAGACCCTCTGCTGTGGATAACCCATGTCTTCGGTAAGGCCGTAGCTAATTCCCTAAGGAAGTATATTCCGGGGACCCTGCTCCGAGAGGATGAGAGTGGTGTGATTGCCAGGCGAAAACTAGAAAACATCATTACTTCAGTAGCACCCACTGGTTCAGAAGATAAAACGCCCACCAAATTCTTACAAAATTACACCTTCCAAAGTCTCAGTCTATCTCTAGCAATGAGCATGGACAGCTAACACAAAAGATGGGCATTGTCATTGACCTCTATCCCAGAGAAGGGTACATAGTCCTTGCTTCAGGGAAAGGGTGCCACAGGAGGACTCAGCAGGTCTTCAAACTTGGACCGGCAACTACAACTGAAGTAGTCTCATCTATACACCTTGGCGACATCGTGCAGTTTCTAGTAAGTTCAAGCGCTCCTGAAGCAGTGGAGAGAGTAGTTAAAATCAAGCAGTACTGCTCTGAGGCTCTTGATGTAACCTTTGCCAGTGATTATCTCACCCAAAATAAAGGTTTAGTGAATCTTTTCGAGAATGAGGCAGCCATGAAAGCGATACTCAATGCTTCCCATGTTTACACAAGTCCAGATGTGTGTGCTAAGCTTATTTCAACAGCATGCAGTGCACTGTCTGACTTAGCCTCCTCTATAAAAAAGAAAATGCTTGCGCTACTAAAATCGTCTTCTTTCATTCTTGATGTCGTTCAAATAGCACCAGAAGAGGTTACCAAGTCGATGAAGGTTCTAGAAAAGTACCTTGAGCACTTCCCCAATGAGGTCTGCGTTCTTGTGCCAGCACTTGAGTCAATGGTCGATGTTCTACAGAAACAAGACAAGCCACTCGAGCTGGCCGCTTTTGTTTCTTTTCTCTCAAGCAGCACTTGTCTTCTTCCCCACTCAGTCGAGATAGCTAGACAGCCGTGGCAGACCGTCCCCACTCTACTGACAGAGGAAGAATGGAAGGCTGGTGCTGTTGCAAACACAGACTATCTCCCTTGTGTTAAGGATTGCTACACCTCCGTCCATGAATATGGCCGCACCTACTTTCTTCTCCTCAGAGCTGACTGCTATGGGGACTTGGCAACATCCATTCGTCGGCTCAGGGACCCCACAGCTTCCAACAATAAAGCTACAGATGAGGCAGTAGTGGTTTATGATGCCACTATCACTGCCTTCTCAAACTACAGTGCTGGACACAAACTGGTATATCACTTCACAATAAAGACACAGCCCCAGTCCTCTGAGAATGTGTCAAGTGACGCACCTTTTCTCAAAGCAGGTAACCTACTCTGCCTAAGCGTTGGTGGTCGTTTCAAGGATGACATTATCTGGGCCACCATCAACCATGTCTCAAGGTACATTCACTTTGGAGAAAATGAAACAAAACAGGTAATACAGGCAAAGCTATATATCTGGTTCTTAAGTGTTGTGTATTATTCTCACAGTGTGAGGTCCTGGTGGAGCTGTGCACTGAGAGTAACACACTGTCAGACGAGGAGGCAATGTTATCCCTGAACAATTCAGGGAATGTAGTGGCACTTGAGAGTCCAGCATACTTCAGGGCCTACCAACCTGTACTGGATGCACTGAAGCAAATGGACATGGAGAAGATCCACTTTCTGTAAGAAATGGTACACTGAGCAATAGAGGCTTTATTTTCATCCCTATATCAATAGGCCAGACCTACTCAACCCAGGCAAAGAACCACAGGCTTCCCTGGAGCTGATCAATGACAACACACTGGTGACTGATCTGGGTGGTCTCAAGCAAGAGGCAGACGGTGTCCCGGTCGTGATGACAGTTGGAGAACTGAGGGAACAGCTGAGTGACACAGAACAATACACAGATTTCTGTCTGCCCAAGTTTCAGCGGATTGCAGTGGAGCGAGCCCTCTCCCAAGCTCTAAGCCTCATTCAGGTGTCTAATTTCTGCTCCGACTCTGTCTATGCTTCCAGTTCATCTAGCTACACTAACAGGGCTACACTATAAGTTTTAACAGGGCTGTGACCAGCAGCTCTTGCCTCATTGTGTACCTGTGTTATTTTTGGAGCTTGTGGGGGTGGGGGGGTTGAGGTGGGGTGGGGTGGTTGTTTGGTTGTGTATGTTGAAAGAGGAAGGGATTGGAGTTGTTGCTTTTACTTGCTAGTGTGCATGCTAAACATACATGTTATACAGGGGCCACCAGGAACAGGAAAGTCCTACATAGGAATGCAGCTACTGCGCCTCTTTCTCTCTATGAAAAACAGCTCTGGTAAACTAATCCTGGAAAACAAACCCGCCCTAGTCATCGCCTACAAGAACAGAGCCTTGGATCTCTTCATCAAAATGTGCACCAGCTTCTGTTCTCTGGACAGAATTGTGAGAATCGGCCACTTGTCAAAGGATAATGAGGAGGAACTGAGGTGTACGTTACTTAATGAAAAGGTTATGTCGGGTCTTGACAGAAACCGCACAGTGGAGCTCAAGGCTGCCATGGAACATCAGTATGAAAGGTGAGTACAAAACTCTTGTTCCTTTCAATGTCAGGCACTTCAATGATTCTCAGTACAAATTTACTTGCTGTACTAAACAAACCACATTGACTGTATTCATGAAACTCTGTTTCCTGGTATATACAGGGTACAAATGGCCAGGATAGCCCTTGTAGCTACAGTGGAAATGGCAGGCCTCAATGAGTGCCTGGACCACATTACTCCAGAGTGGCTACAGAGCCTCATTCTCGACCAAGGCTCAGTGTCTGCTGCATACGGAGTGGCTGCTAGAGTTAGGGACGACCCTGAGAGGTGCCTGGACCTATTACAGGTATGCAGGTTGGGTGCCTATGTGTTTGTTGGTTGGTTGAACAATACACACATGGAAAGGGATAACTGTTTCATACCAACCCCACACTTTATGCAATCACATAATAATATGTACAGCTATAAGTGCCACATTAACTGTACTTTCTTTAGAGAGCCCGAATGGGGGAGAGAGATCGGCAAGAGAGACAGGAAATTGAGGAAACCCTAAGCAGGGCCTGGTCTAAGTGGGTGGAGGGAATCAGGTGGGACCCACAAGATCCCGTTCCAGGAACCAGTGGCTCACTCCAGTATGACAGTGACTCAGAGTTGGACTCGAGGGAGTACGAGGAGTACTACGACACTCTTCAAAAGAGAAATAATGCAGTCGAAACCTTGACTTCAGTCTATGCAGACTTTGAAGATGGTAATAGCTAGGTGTAATAGGAATACACAACATGGCGTTTGTATGCCTAGGTGACTGACTGTGTTCTGTATTGTTGTATATAGGCCCAGTGGAAGTGTCAAATGTCTGGGCACTTAGTCCTGATGACAGACGGAGGATGATCAGAGCTGCCACCAGAGAGCGCTATGAGTCTGCCATGGATGACTTGAAGGACAGCATAAGGCAGTACAACATGATACGAGAATTATACGAGGTACAAAAACACTGAGTGTTCATGTAGCTTTTTCATATTATGGCCCTCATAGAAAAGACGTGAGGAGAAGGCAGTGGAGATCTTGAAGGGGGCCAAGGTGGTGGCAATGACGACAACAGGTGCTGCCATCAACCAGCGACTTCTGAACCAGTTGGAGGCTCCCGTTGTGTTTGTGGAAGAGGCGGCAGAGATCCTGGAATCTAACCTTCTCGCTGTCCTCACTCCTCATGTGAAACACATGGTCCTCATTGGAGACCAGAAACAGCTCAAACCAACAGTAAGAACTAAAATGTTATGTTGCTATCACATCTTTACTACAGTATTATTGTGAATGTTCCAGGTCGTCTGGAACAAGCTGGCCAGTGACAGATACAAGTTTGATGTATCTCTCTTTGAGAGGCTAATCAGAAACAAGTATCCTCACACTCTGCTACTCAGACAGAGCAGGATGCACCCCTCCCTTGTGCCACTCTATGGGTATCACTACCAACGTGGACCAATTACAATACGCTCTGCTGATGTAAGCAATGATTTTCATACTTACACTGTGGCCTTACTCTTCCAAACCTTATGTTTTAGAAAACAAAAGACTTGGTGCACCCAAAGTGCATGGGGAAGAACTTCTTCTGGTGGTCATACTCGGGGGCTTATGAAACCAGGCGAGAGAAAGGCTACATGAACACCCACGAGATCGATATGGTCGTCAGTCTGTGCTGCTGGCTGCTCTGTAATAGAGTGGAGTCTGGCAAAATTGCTGTTCTGACACCCTACAGAGGCCAGGTGCATTCTTGTTTAGTGTATTACTTTAGGTGGCCATGTTTTGTGAACTTTGCAGCTTGAAGAAATCAAAAAGTCCCTTGAGGATAAAGCAAACAAGTACAGAAATATGCCAAGAGCGTTGGTTGACATAGATGTGTACACTGTGGACGAATACCAGGTGAGACGTGCTACACAATCTGATTGGTCGATTGGTAGAGCGCCCGCTTTCTTCCATATAGGGTCATGAATGTGATGTGGTAATACTAAGCCTGGTGCGTAGCAACACGAGTGGGAAGATTGGATTCCTGAAGGTCTCCAACAGATTAGTGGTGGGCACTTCACGACAGAAGTGTGCCTTGTACATTGTGGGGAATCGCACATTCCTGGAGAAAAGCGCTCCTGCCCTCTGGAAGGTATGGCGGTTTTGAGGCAAATGATATTCACAACTCAGTGGAAAGCTTGTGTTATCAGTAACTGTTTTTCTCTGAACTATACACAGGATTTCTTGACTGAATGCAGACCTAACTCCATTGGGACAGATCTCCCCATTGTTGTGGGCACTAGTCCAGTTGGGTGCCAGTCATCCAGTGAGCTTGATGAAAGGTACGCTTTTACACAGAATGGCTGTAAATAAGTATAGGGCACTTTATAACAGGGTGAAGATGGCTCTGGAAGTGGCAGCCAATAATGCCGAAGGAGATAACGTCAATGACACTGACTTTGACTTTGATCCACCCCCCGCTGGGTTGCAGTCGGCAGTTGGCACACTATCACCATCAGTTGGGGCACAAGAGTCAGGGTCCAGTACACCAACCTCCATTAGAGCTCTGTCAGGACCTAGTACACCAGCCTCCGTTAGGTCACAGTCAGCAGTTAGTACACCAGCCACAGTTAGGTCACAGTCAGCAGTTAGTACACCAACCTCAGTTAGGGCACAGTCACAGTCATCACCAGCCTCACGATCTGCTCGGTCAAAGTCAGTAGACAGCACCCCACCTGCTGATCCATTTAGAGCGAGCAAACCAGCTTTTGAAAACACACAAAATGTAGTAGCCTCTTGCTCTCCGAGTCATCAGCCACACTCATTGTCACAACTCACTGAGCCTCAATTCTCTGGATCTGCTTGTAGACAGCAATCAAGCCCTCCGGCCTTAGATCCAACACTAATGGCAGGGGATACCCCTGTTCTAGGGGAAATCGATGAGCCCGTTTCTTCATCCACAACTACGTGGGACTTCCGCCAATGCACTCTAAACCTGAAAGACACAGAAGCCGCTAAAGATTGGAAATTTATTGGAAGGCGTTTGGGGCTAAGTGAGGGAGACATTGAGGCAATCGATAAGAATTACAGTTCCGATATGAAGGAAAAGTTTTATCAGATGATGGTGAAGTGGAAATCAATAAAAGGGAAGAAGGCAACAAGAGAAAGGCTAATTGAAGTACTTAAGAAAGAGAAACTGAATCAGATTGCAGAAGAAGTAGAAAAGGAAGAAGTTGGATTTTAGTTAGAGCAACATGTATTTCGTAGATTAAGCAATGGTGTACTAAAAAAACACTTAATATTATTAACTTTACTTTCACTGTACAAAAGAGGAAACGTAGTAGCTATATCTTCACCGTTTAGAGTGAGAGAATGTCAGTGGGGAGCATTGGTGAGCTCATAGGGCAGACAAAGTTCTGTCAACTAACTACATTCAATGCTGTTGGGAAGGGAGTGGTTTGGTTATTTATGAGGATGAGGCAGGCTTCAGGGTGAAGCAGAACACATTGTGAGAAGAGGGTGAGGTGGTAATCTGGATGGCAAGACAGCAATATCTGTCCCTGGTCCATCATGATCCCATCCCCACATTTTGTGGCCATAGCTAAATGCATAATGAGCATACCAACTACAGATATCCACCTACATAAAGAGATTCAGAATCTTGAATGAACCAACTAAGTAGGGGTTTGAATCGCCGAATGTATACACTTAGAGTCACACTGTGACCCTTGATAAGAGGGGTGCAAGTGCAGGTGTAGCATACAGACTGATCTGGTGCATTTTTACAAGAGCTGTGGTGTTTTTCGAGGTATACTTCTTTCTTGGAGTTGGGGGTATCGGATCTGTAGCTCAATCTCAGTACTCCAATGCAGTCCGCATTCTTGAAGTGAATTAACCCTCTGCGCGCATGCATGCTCAGCGAGGGTTCCCAACATCTCACTGTTCACGAGCCATGAATCGCTCCACAAACAATACCAGGTATTCAGCGTCGGGTATAGGTCGAAATATAATATGAAGGGTTTTCTCTAAAACTGCTGCGTTCGGGAGTTACGGCGTGAAAACCAAGTGAACGAGCCAATAGCGATGGTTTACCCAAGGGTTTACCTCGGGATCCGGATGCGCTTGCTCTGCGTAAACTGGAAGCACCAGAGGTTGCATTGCGGGGCGTGTATGGACTCTCGCATGTTACCTAGTAGTGTAGCTAGCCCGTTACCGACTCTCAGCGATCTAGTAGGAGACCACGAGTAGGTAAAATCGCGGGTAAAATGGCCCAGTCCCGAAACGGGTGGAAATCTCGTACGCTTATGGTCAGAAATTCAGTTGGAAATCAGGGGAATCAACGAAAAGTGGAAATCAGAAATCAAGTTGCCGTGCGCGCGCCGCTTTTCTGCTCCGTATAGCTCCGTTCACTATATATAGTAAACTACAAGGCCGACCCTGCTGCGGCGCGCGCAAACTCGCTCAGGCCGGCCGGCGGCGACAGTATTATGGGCCTCTGGCGCATGACTACTGTTCGTGTCGACAGTAAAGGGAACTCCTCTTTTGGGAGTATACAGTTATAGAACCCTCGAGAGACCGTGAAATAATCAACTTAGAAATCTAGAAATCACTGGAAAATCGGGTGGAAATCAGTTTGAAATCACGGGCTTTTAGAAATCTCGTACGCCCGTTTCTTCGTATATACCACTCGCCCAGTCCAGTAGAACATACTTCAGCGCGCGCGCGTTTCGCAATCTTTTCGCGCATGCGAAAGATACTCTAATCCCGTATCAAGCCTATAGTTGCACACCGAAAGATGTGCCTCACTTGGTTGTCATCCTCAACTTTTCTTTGACATGGAACCCTTCTCTAGCGAGCACGCCCGTCTCCGCCGAGGGTTTGCACTTTAGTGCTTTTCATTCCCTTCTTGTGTCACTGCCAGTGGCAGTTGTGCGTATACATTCATCATGTGACTTTGGCTATATAGTTTCAAGCTTGGGCAGTGACAGTGTACCTGGTCTTCCTCCCCATTCACTTTAAAAAGTCACAAATTTGTGACATGTACTGTTGAGAAAGCTATGTTAATTCCCAAAGCAGTTGAATATGTGTGTTTATGTAAATATGTGATAGCTGATCACTACAAAAAGTTTGTTAGAAGTGGTGAAACTTATAATCTAGTGGTGGGAATTCAGTGCTACTCCACTGGAGCTCCAGCCAGTGCATGTAGTGACATCTACCCAGTGGGGCATCTAGGAACCTCCCAAGATCTCTCCACTAACCCCTTCCAGTTGTCCCTCTCTGACTTTGACCAGACTTACGGAGGAGAGATTTTCTATGTCCCTGGACAGGACTACACCTGTGAGTCACCTCCAGCTCTGCCTCAATCTGTCAGAGGATGAATGTATGGCATGTGGTGCAGTGACTCTGTCAGGATCAGGAGGTGAGCAGTTCAGAGGATTTCTAGTACAGGCCAGAGCTCTGGCAGATGGTTCTCCAGTTGTTACCTTCATTGACAATGGAGATGACCAGACACTCAGCTCTTGTGACCCTCCAGAGGTAATCCTGAAATTATGGTAGGATCTTTTGCACATTAGGGGTAAGGCAAGGGAAAATGATTAACCATGGTTTTAGTGCTATATTTCAGCATACATTGTATTGATTTAGTCAGCAGTGACCCACACAAACAGCAGTCTCAAGACTTACTTGACACTGAATTGGACAGCTCCATTACAAGGAGCTGGAGGGATCAATTTTTTGTAAGTGTGATTTTCCAAAGCCGAATGTTCATCAATGCACTTTTCTCTTTTGCAGTTATGCTGTCGTTCTAAGCAGAGATGAATTTTATGCTACACAAAATACTGATGTCTTACATCGTAAGCTGTTCTCGCGTGAATTCTGGGTTACACTTTCTCTCTGGTCTCCACAGCCTGCGGTCTCCCTCTGTATGAGAGTGCTGGTCATTGTGTGGAGACCTGTCCTGATGGACAGTTTGGTAATGGAAATATCACCACTCTCACTGGAACCTGTGATCCATGTGAGTGAGCAGAGAAAAGGGTTTTAGTGTTCTCTTGTTGTTTCTTATCTTTCCCCTCTCCTACTATAGTACCCACTGACTTCAGAGCAACCCTGAATGCCACAGTCTACTATGCCCAAATTGACGAAAATCATCAACTGAATGCATCAGTGTTCAAAATCCGAGCCATCTTCAGTACCACTAATGATCTTGAATATATCTACATGAGCATAACACAGGCCAACGAAACCGACGGGCTCCTTGAATTTGACGGTGGCAGTGAGAACAGGATTGAACCCAATGTAAGAGAACCGCGCTACCAGGAGCTGGTGATGGTGCTCATGTGTTTGACACATCAATCAATCTTGTGCAGGACCCAGCCACTGTGTTTGCAGAGAGAGGCTATCCAATTAATATAGACATTAACATCACTTTAGCTGTTTTGTATCATCCGGGAATACCAAGTATCGGCTATGTCTAAAGGATTGGTCTGCATACAAAATTCAACAGGTAAGAAAACCAGAAGCACCCATGACTGCTTGAGGATCTCTTAGACTATTTCATTTTCCAGATCCTTGCGATGGAGGGTGTGAGAATGGAGGCACTTGTATAAGAACCTCCTTCTGCAAGTACTCTTGTTCCTGCAGGCCAGGATACACCGGAACTCACTGTCAGGAGGATGATCAAACTGTGCACTTTTGCAAAGAGATAGTGTTTAATGGTGGGTACTTGTGTTGAAGAATTTGGCACGATACTAGATGTCAATGTGTCACGGGTTCAGAGGTGATCAATGTACAGAAGACGATCCACCAAACTCTTCTGTAATAGTGACCTTGCATGAATGAGGGAGTGTGCATTGAAATTTGCCGGGGCCCCATCTACACACTGTATGTGTGCGATTCACGGGACTATTTTTGCTCCGAGGATGACCCTGCAATAACGTCTGCAACAAACCATCAAACTTTTGTGAAACGAGCTTGCAGTGAAGGAATTGGGATGATGACCAGTTGTGAATGCACCCGTGGCTACAGAGGTGATCAATGTATTGAGGATGACCCAACAGAGCTGTTCTGCAGTGAGGTCGAATGTATGAATGGTGGAACTTGCCTTGAGCTTATGGGCCAGATACAGAGTGCGAATGTGTTAGTGGATTCAGGGGACTATTTTGCTCCGAGGACGACCCTTGCAATAACGTTCTGTGATGAACCTCAAACTTTGTGAAAACGGAGGCACTTGCAATGAGCGCTATGGTACGGCCACCAACTGCAGATGTGCTCGTGGCTTCACTGGAGACCACTGTACTGATGATGATCCCAGTGTCCCTTTCTGTATTGACGACACCTGTAAACATGGAGGTACCTGCCAGGAGACATTCGGTGACTCGGTCAGCTGTTTGTGTGCCACTGGGTTTGTTGGAAAGAGATGCGAATGGATGGCCTGCCCTTCAGATGGAAACTCTTTTTGTTCAAAATGGAGGAACATGCTATCAAGTTCAAGATCTCAGTCCTATAACCTGTGCTTGTCCCCCACAGTTCACAGGTAGTCCAATGTGAGACAGTGCTGTGTGAGGCAGAAGCAGATGTCCCAGTGTACCCTGGTAGTAGTGTGACCTACAGTTTGGTCGTGGACAGAGGGAGGGAGGAGCCAGACTCAGCCTGTCCTGACATTGTCAGGAGCTCATTGACTATCCTTCAGGAGCAGTGGTGGAGAGACGGTGTCATGGAGACAGTGGCCAGTGGCTGGACACCGACCTTCACTGCCTGTGGACTCACCATCACTGCTCTACAGCCTCTGTGAAGCTAGCCAGGTTGGTCTAATATAATATGATTCAAGGCACTGATGTGACTCTTTTTCTTACAGCTGAAAACTCCTCTGAATGTGGCTAATTCAGTGCTCAATATCACAAGCAATCAATCTGCTCTGGATTATCCGCTATTACTGTGGCAAGTGACATCATGCTAACCTAACTGATGCAGCTGTTGAAGACACACAGGTATAGTTAGCTCAAAAACACATCTTAATCTTTATTAATTCTTATGCAGGTGTAGGAATATTTTGAGTATTATTGTAATGTGCTTGAAGGAAGGCCAGACCAATTGCTAAAAGCCAGATGAATCAAATTCTTCTAGCAGGTATGTGAGTCCATTGCTACCTTAGTTGTAACCAAATTTTGTTATGTATATTATTATGCAGGATCCTTCAGGAAATTAATCGACTCCATAATGAAAAACCATTGGGTGATCAAACACGATATGACGAAACACGTAGAAACTATGGCGTGATAGTATTGACATTAATGCAAGTAGCGAGAATGAAGGGAAGTATGATTCGTTCAGTGCTGACCTAGGAGGTGTGGAAACTGCAGTAATGAGCAACGAGCTGATTTCTCCTGAACAGCTCATAGTGAGCTCTGGTGTACTCTCTAATGTGACAGGATCTCTTGGTTTGAAAGGACTAGATGAGTGTGCTGCTCATAACAGAGAGCGTCTCAGGATCATCTACTCTGTTTTCCGTACAGACGCCTTGTTTCTCACTCCAGAAACAGCCTGTGATCTCTATGCCATTAGTTCCATAATAGTGGGGGTCAATGCTAGCAAATGTGCCACCAAACTGTCTGCGAGATTGATTTAGAGCGACTAATGGAGGTAAGTTCGTAACTTAGCCAAGGAGTTTAATGACTTTTGTGCATGCTATAGGTCTGCCTGAACACCTCCATCACTAATTCTGAGACTGCTGCCTATACAGCTCAGCAACAATGAAGCGAGTATGCTCAAACTACAAGACAGGTTTGAACTAGCCCACATCCTATAACCTACCCAACTGTCTTGTTTTCAACAGATGGAGCTGGAGAGGTGGTCGTCTGAGGACTGTAGGGAAACAGGCAGGGGTGGAGGAAGAACACAGTGTGACTGCTCACAACTCGGTCACTTTGGCCTCTTTTTTGTGAGCCTTGGTTTGTTCAGGATTAAGTTATGGTATTAGCTATTTGCAGGACTTGAACCCTGGAGAACCTCTGTCACCACTTGCACTTGCCACCATATCTTATATCGGAGCAATTGTGTCAGTGTTTTGTCTACTTCTCCTTCTACTGACTTATCTGAGCTCAAAGTGAGTGATAATGGCAGTTGGTATATACACACTTATAGGTGCAGAGGTCAGAACTTTTCCCCTTGTGTTTCAACATAAAATCAGGACTCTTCGAAGGAAGGAGCATGGGAGGATTCTGATCAACATCAGTGTGTCTCTCCTCTGTCTGTATGTGGTGTTTGTGGTGGCCGGTCTGGTGACGTCAGTGGGGCCTCTCTGTGGCCTGGTGGCCGCCCTCTTCCACTACATCATGTTGGTCTTCTTTGGCTGGACTGCAGCTGAGGCTGTCTTCCTCTACCACAAGTTGGCCGTAGTACTGGGAAACCCAATACACCACTATGTCTGGAAGGCTGGACTTACAGTTTGGTGTGAGTAAAATGAATCGCAATCTGATGCCATTGATTACCTTCCACCTTGCAATGCAGTGTCTCCTCTTGTAGTTACAGCAATTTCAGTGGGACTAGGCTATAAGTACTATATCAACCCTTACTAGTGAGTTAATATCTCCTACTAATTATGCTATTGGTGCACCGGGGTCAATTTTTAGTTGCAGGGCAACAGAGTGGCCATTTTGGCTGGGACACATCCTTCCAGTGTCCATCATTGGCATATTCAACTGGATTGTTTTCGCCATCATAATGCTCAAGCTATGCCTCGGGACTGTCAAAGTTGACGTGGAGAGAGATAGTGCTAGGAGAACCTTCAAGAAGAACTTCTTCATTGCAGTTGGACTGTCGCTGCTGCTGGGACTTGGCTGGGGATTTGGACTCACTGCCACCAGCTCCGACCTCAAAGAACTGACCTTTGCCCTCCAAGTCATCTTCAGTCTGTTTGTAGGCTCTCAGGGAGTTCTCATCTTTGTCTTCCACGGCCTCCGCTCCCCTCAGTTCCGACTGGTGTGGCATCTGCCTTTGGTCTGAGGAGCAAGCATAGGCCTATCAAAGACTTGGCTAAGAAGAGTGGTTCGGACAACATGCATGGCACTGGAACATACTTCAATGAGCCTTTGAAGCATCCTTGGACAGGTGGGAACCGGGTGATCTCCAACACAGACATGGATTTTGAGCAACAGTGGGTGACCCAGATGAGCAGTTTTGAACCACATGGAGACACACCCACCGAGACAGTGAAGGAAGTGGAGGAGCAATCCTCATGAGGATGCTCCAGTGTTTAAAGAAAACATTTCATAGTAATGACAGGCAGCAGTTTGTAGAATTTGTTTGACGTAAGGCAACAGCATCAAGTTTTACCTATACATTAGATATTCACATTTTTACTCTTTGTAATGGGGTTTTTAATTTCATGTGCAGTGTAACCAGCACCAGTTATAATAGATAAGTGATATACTTTCTCAGGGCTCAAAGAAAGAGATACTGTTTGTCTGGCTGAGTTTTGGTTAAATATGGGTTTTAGGGGGGAGCAGCAGTTATGTGACTAATAAATAATAATGTATTTCATAACCTATAGGATAGTTTGGTTATATGTTTACCAATGTCCAGATATGCATTACAGCACAATATTGACTTTTTTTCCTTCTGACATTCGTTATCCATGGTTGTGCATTACACATTACAAAGGGGTTCATACACAGTATTCAACCTCCATGGAAAAAAACTCCCTCTCCAAAGTGCACAAACTTGCACACAAACTCCAAAGCCATAGATTAAGCCAAATGGGAATTTCGTTACTAACATTGAAAAACCCTTTTGCATCCGGATGTTTTTCTAGCACTTTTCACTGGACCAGTGAAAATTCTTTTATAGACTAGCTTCTTTTGGATTGTTATTATGCAGTGCATGTTGTCACGGTCTCTAGGCATTGATCGTTTACCTCTGCAGTTCATGGCCTAGTCATGTAGCGAAACGTTGAAGAACGCCGTTGAAATCTCGCAGAGAGTTGCAAAAAAAGTCGAGGGCTATCGTAACCGCCCCTGCGCAAAATTGTCAGCTAACAGTCGACGCGGACCGGCTTTTTTTAGCTATAGTTACGTAGCGCTCTGGCGCCTGCGCTGACAGTCGACAGTGTTAGCTATACACCGAAAGTTCCTACGTAAGAGATCCCTCGACCATACTTCACTGATCATTCATCTGTGGCAGGATGTTCCTATTGCCCAAGACGGATGCAGGTGACCCCAGTGGCGCTGACGCAGTGCGTGACTTTATCGAACTGACCACTTGTTAGCATTCTCATAGTGATGCCTACTCTATAGACTAAGCGTAGCCAGATTCAATCACTTCCTAATACTTACCTTCATAAAACTTGCTATCCTTATAGAATGGGGTACCGCTCTGCCAGTGTCTCTAAGTCTTCTCTTCTTGGCTCTGGTGAAGGTCAATTCTGAAACTGTTACTCCTTATCTCTCATTCGGGGGCAAAAAACTACCCAATCATTCCTATGTGGATGTTTTTAGTATCTCATTAATTGCCCGTCTACGGTGTCGCAGCGAGCTACAAAATTGCTGTAGTAGGACTCAGGGAAACTGGGTTTTCCCAAATGGGACAAGTTTGACATATAATTATTTGAATGGAGTGTATCAGTACAATACAACTCAGAGAGTTGAGTTGTTTCGGGCTCCTTGGATTATGACACCACCAAATGGTATATACCGCTGTGAGATTGCAGTCAGTAGTGATGAACCTTCAGTTACCCAGTCTCTTTATGTTGGACTATACACCAATAACAGAGGTAACTTGTTTACTTCGTCTCTCTCATTGACCTTTATATTTTTCTGCATTGCTGGTAACGTAGTTTCTCCACTATTGGGTGTGTTTGTATCCTATAGGAGATGTAATGATTTCTGGTGATATAACACTAACTGTGAACTCTGATCTGAATGGAGACAGTCCTCAGTTCACCCTCACCTGTCTCTCCACTGGTGGTCCTGCTACTACAGTCACTTGGACGAGAAATTCAAAAACAGTCACTGAAGGAAATCAGACAGCATTAGTCGACACTTCAACAGCAGAGTATATCCACACTCTGATTGTAAGAGGGGGAATGCCAGGACTTTACAACTGCACTGTGGAGAATAACAAACCATCCAGTGGCTCAAGAAAATTTTCTATAAACGGTATATATACTGAATCTAGCCATTACTTGTGCTAATTTATTGTTGCCATAATAAAAAATCACAGTTGCCTCTGCTCCCAATAACTTGAGAGCTGTGATTGGAAATGACTCCACTAGTATCCATTTGACCTGGACTCCTCCCACTCCACTGGCAGACACCACTGGGTACAGGATCTCCTTCACTGGAGGAGGGAACAGTAGTAGTGTCAATGTTAGTGGTGGGTCCACTGACAACTACACACTGACTGGTCTTACGAGGGGAGAGATGTACAACATATCCATTGTGGGAATATCTGAACACTTCTTCAGTGAGAGTGTGGCATGGGACACAGTCAAACTTCCAGGTTTGCTGCCATTAATTGCACCTATAAGTAAATCATGAATGCCTTTTCAAAGGGATAGAGGATGGAGCAACTGGTAGTGGTGATGAAAGAGGAGGGGAAGAAGGTGCTAGTCAGAAACAAAATTATTCTTCAGCCTAGTGGCTGGAATAATTGCACCTTTTATTATTCTCGCTATTGTGGCTGCATCAGTACTGGTTGGTTGGAAATAGTATGTATTCCTCATCCACTCTCACTAGATGCTAAGTCCTTTTTCGTGTCTATTCTCTTTTAGTCTGTGTCACAGGAGGTGTATCAAGGGACTCCTTGGTTCTCCATCTGCAACCACTTCAACTACTAGTAAGACTGTAGCTTCATATAGTTTTTCTTAGACCTGGTGATGGTATTGTGAGCTTAAGTCAAAAGAGTGCCGCCAAAAGAGAGTGGAAACACCAACTAACTCAGGCCTAGAGAGTGCCATGGCAATTTAGCTCTCTCTTCCCCAGCACAATTTCCAGGTCTTCACTTCATCACTATAATATAGTTAACCATCAATGGTCATTGCATGCACATTCAGATACATTCATACTGGTGGCACATGCTTATTATCACGAAAATGTCTGACTAGACAATTATATTACCATTAAGTGAGAGTGACCAGCTTTTTCTGGGCAGTACTTTGGCTTTCTGGACTCCCATGGTATTCTAATGTAGTAGTTGGTTTTTGCAATTACCTGCCCTCTTTGACCTCAGTTATAAGTTAAACCTATGATTGGGATATCATTCATGCATGTGTATAATGAAAATCTGCTCTGAATTGCAAGCCATGCAGTGTTTAGTTTTTTAACTTCCGTAATAATGTTTGTAATAAGGGTGTGTGTGTGTGTGTGTGTGTCTGTGTGCAGCGATTGTGTATGTAATTACCCCTTTAGAGCTATCACCTCACTTGCATTAGCTATGTTGACATTGCTGTTCATCACCTATCCTCATCAAGGGTATTCAATTACATTGTTACTGTAACATGCCAGATTGTGCCCATAGAATCAGACGGACTTGAACTTCCAAAAATTTGCGTTTAGCTATTTTGAATTTGTGAGTGTAACTTGGGACTTTCAACTTACGCAGATGTTCCTTTTCTGACATAATTGCTGAAGCCTATTATGCTCATCCATGTAGGTAACACAGTGAACTTTGAGAGCTCTGCATCATCCTCTACACCAATTTATGATGAGGTGGATGTATTGAGAGGGGTCACCATTTCACATGATATTCAGCTAATGTCAAATGAAGCATATGCTCCAGTCATTAAAACATCAGCAAATAGTGCTTATGGACAATTAGCCACACATGTTATTACACAGTAATTTGTACCCTTCTATGTTAGTGAGGAGAGGATAATTATTAACTACCTATAGTTACATACTGTCTGTTACAATGATCATTGTGACTAAGTTAATTTTCATTGTTAATCTAAGCTAGTTAATTTGAGATACGTGCTGACTGATTGAAGGGTTGTGGAAAGTGACAACTCCGAGTATTGCGATGAGCACAGTTACCTCCCCGAAGTGTGTGATAAAGGAGAATCATTGAGACCTTGGAACGAGGCTAAGACGAGTTAGGTGGCATCTTCCTTTATATTTTGAAAATGGATCCATGCATGCAGCCCTTCCCAATAATATACTTTCCAGGAAAAAATTAGCATAAAGTTTGCATAGTTTCATACAGCTACTTAGTACTGATTTTTGAGATAAGTAAAGTTGCAACTCTAGTTGTTTGTGCACTTCTTAGTTTCATTCATTCATTATACTGAGGTGTTATAAACTTGAGAGATGATCATAAACAGCTAGTTTCTCTCTTACCTGAATTCGTGGGTGACGTGTAGAGCAAAGCTGGACTGGATACGCATTTACGGATAAGTGTTACTCTATCCCTCCACAATTTGCTGAATGGAGCTTGGTTGAGGTAAGCCATTGCTGTGTTATGCATTGGCTTTTTCGCTTGCTTTTATGCTTTGTAAACCTCTTGAATGCAGTCATTTCAGGAAATCATTTTCATATTCTTATAGCTGTGCAGGCGTTGGTGTGACTTATAGGTCACCTGTAGTGTCACAATAAGTCAGACAGACAGACAGACACACAACACAACCAAGTGCTGTAACCCTCGCTGCACATGTGCTCCAAGCGTAATAAATCCCCAGTCCACGTCTTGGTTAGGCTGTGAAGCTGCCTTGTTTTTTTTATGGAGCTAGTACAGGGTCATAATTATTCTTCTTACATACACCACTAGTTTGAGACTCAACCATGGAGGACTGGCACAGCCTTTCACTCTAGACCATGCCTGGGTCACAATCTTATTTCCCCTTGTGTTCTCAGAGATTCCTGGGATCAGTGCTAGTTTAGCATTACGTAACCACAGGTTAATTATTATTTCCCCCATCCCTTAAAGCTACATAGCTATTATAATGTTCACCCTGAGCACTGTGGTAGATCACGCACTACTAAAAATTAAATATGTGTGACCTGAACATGTGACAACCATAGACACCTAGACTCGTAAACATGAATATCAAACAAAATCGACAAACACAATAGCTCTGAAGAAGAGTATGGAGAGGGAAGGGGGGAGAGGGGAGAGGGAGGCGGGAAGCCCATGTGACTGAGTTCCTGGCACACCAGATCCTATAGAACTCCAGTAGTGTAGTCCAAATGACACTGAGTCAGAGTGTCGCGATATATATCTCGATGTGAGCAGCTGATGGCCGTTGCCAGAGGCTCGAGATCTTGGATGCCCAGCATTCCCCGAGACCCCACCTCAACTGTTAACAGCTCTGTTTTATACCCCGCTGCCTTCCCAGCATCCACCAGATTCTTGTATTTGACCCTTTTCCGCTCTCGAGCATCAGCTACGTGAGACTCGTAGCTGATAGTTAGCTCAGAGCCACAGCTCCCTCTGGCGGACACTCCGCCACATGATGTCAGGTCTCATGTTGGTGTGGTGGGGGAAGTTGTAGAGATGTGTCGGGTGGTCAATAGTCAGGGAAAAGTGAGGAGGTAGAGAGGCCTGGATGAAGTCTCCAAAAAACCTTGAGGACTTCATCATCATGTCTCAGACTGTATATGCCTCCGAAGTACCATTGCAACCACAGCAGTTGTTGAGGATATGGATGAGAGACGGCCGATGTTCCTTGCACAGGTTGCAGGTGTATCTGGTCTTCTTGCCCCACAGTGTGGAGGTTTGCATTGGTTGGGAGAGTACCAAGAGATGCATTCAGTGCAAACTTGAGAGGCTCTGGAGGTAGACCGTGCACTGCCTCTACCCACAGCTCAGGTGAGGTCTCCTCCCAAGACCTTGCCATCCCACCTTGTGCAGTGAGCTGGCACAGAAACTGGAGTCTCTCGCCAAAGTGCGCCGACTTGTGAACTGATCACATGACAGCAGATCATCCACAAACTCTGCTGGCCGGTATTTCGCCCTCAGACTCTTCCTCTCTTCCTCCAGATGGAGCTCCGCTGCCTTCCTCACACTCTGATCTCTTGATGTGAAGAGCTGCACCATCCGGGTGGCCTTCATTTTCTTGTAGAGGGTCACCAGAGAGGGAAGTGCAAGACTACCTCTGTTTGCAGGGAAGAAGAGAATGGATGTGTTTGAGGATGAGGCTAAGCCTGACCACTTCTGGAGGGCCCTTGTTTCCATTGGCTGCAGCTCACGCTCCAGCCAGGAAATGGGGAATTCATCAATCATCTGTGGCCAGGACAGCCTGGGGCAGACTCCAAATTTAATAGCGAAGCTTCTGCTGCGAGCGAGGGAAGCGGTGTCAATGGCTTCAATCATCCTCTGAAGGTTTCCCGTGGATCGACACTCTAGCAGACTCGTTGTTCTTGTTGACACGCACAGGCATGCCCAGGAACTTGAAGGAGTCGACCTGTGCAGGTGGAATGGTTTGGCCACTGATGGTAAGGCCCGGAAAGATTCTCTTCCCTGTCGACGCCTGGATGACCTGGGATCCGCACTTGGGCCTTCAGTTGTGCCCACTCCAGCCAATACCATGTCCAGTTGATGCTCTCTCTCTCTCTCTCTCTCTCTCTC